GTCTCCAAATAATCCGCAGTTGGGTTAAACCCAGCATCAAGAACCGCAAATGTCAGGAGTCTCCCACCGGAGAGACTAAACTCAGGGTTTAGCTCAGAGGCTAAACCCACCAACAATGAATGCTTGAGTCCCAGCTCTGACACTAGGTAGCCAAGTGGCCTTGGATAAACTATTTAACATTTCCAGACCTCGGTGTAATAATCTGTAAAATAAGTGGGTTCCTTTTCTTATTCAAATAGTACTTGAGTGCTTCCTGTTTGCTAGGGACTGTTGAAGGTAATAAGAAAACAGTAAGAAATAGAACTGGACACGATTCCTAATCAGCAGGAGTTTCTATTCTAGTGGAGAAGGCAGACAGTAGGCACATATGTGAATGAAATAAGATAATGTAATTGAGTGAACTATTAGGATGCAAATAAGAATGCAATTGAGATGGTGTGGTGTGTGCGTGGTGCCTCTGCCTAAGGGACAGGCATCAGGGAATGTCTCTCTGAGGATGGTGCATTTGGGTGGAAACTGAATGAAGAGAAAGAGCGAGATCCACAGATTTGGAGGAGTGATTGGCAGGCAGCAGCAGGAAGAGCAAATACAGAGCTATACAGGCAGGAGCTCGGGGGTCCCTGAAAGCTCTAAAATCGGAGATTTGTGTACCAGGCATTACAAACCGTATTCTGTGGTTATTCTGCAAGGCGGGTGTCATCTCAGATCATCAGTTGTCCTGGGTCTGATTCTGATGTCCTTCCAGTGGTTTAGTTTCTATCTCAAGTGCCTTACTATTGATTAAATATCACCCCCAAACCCCTTTTGCTTCAGGGATTGTGTTTCCACTCAGTAAATTTCAACCTGGGGGTGGCCCTGTCCAGCCCCTGCAGTTACCTGCTGTTCTTGGCCAGTTAAGACACAGGCAGTAGGGGCAGGCACAGTGGCTCACACCTGTAATCCCAGTGCTTTGGGAGGCCAAGGTAGGAGGATCACTTGAAGCCAGGAGTTTGAGACCAGCCTGGCCAAGAAAGCGAGACCCTGTCTCTACAACAAAAAAGGCAGTAAATTTTTAAAAAAGTTATGTAAAGTTCCATGTAGTTGAGAAACAGGAAAATCCCTGTACTATCATCTAGTAGACTTCCATTTCTTACTCCTCTCCTAATGGTCAGAAACTACCCGAGAAATATATGCAAGTTAAGGTTGTAATCCACCTGTTATTTTCTGTGAGGTCTGATGATAAAATGTTTTGGCATTTCTAACAGTGTAGTTGTAATTGAAATGGATAATGATGATTAGGAGAAAAAGCAGCTACTATATAATCTATGCCTGGTAAATGCAAGACACTACTTCTCTTATGGAATATATTATGCCTTTGTGTGTCTTCTTAATATCTAGAAATAAACTGCTCCATGCTAATGTCCTACCCAACTTAACCACTGCTGAGGAATGAATGAAGAATAGTGTTAGAGTCTGGTCCCCAGTGTTCCTGGTCCTGGTGGGACGGGAGGGAATCTGAAGCTACCAGGTCATCCAGGCCAGTGCTTACCTGGTTTTAGAGAGTAGCTCAGAGACCAGCTGTAAAAACCTATAGCTAGACTTGAGTCAAAGCTACTCCCTCCCACCCTAGCTTACTGCTTTTTAGCCCTTGGGCACATGATCAAGGTCACCTTCAAAGACAGCCCTTCCCTGATAACATGTCTAAACCTGTCCCTGTGGTGTTGGACACACATATAAACAAATAAATGAAATATAAATGCTAAAACAAAGATAGGATGGTGGGCTAAAATAAAGGCACACCTGGCCTACTTTTTCTTTTTTTCTTTTTTTTTTTTCTTTTAATGGAGTCTCGCACTGTTGCCTGGGCTGGAGTGTGGTGGCGTGATCTTGGCTCACTGCAACCTCTGCCTCCCAGGATCAGAGATTCTCCTGCCTCAGCCTCCCTAGTAGCTGGAATTACAGGCGCCTGGTACCACGCATGGCTAATTTTTTCATATTTTTAGTAGAGATGGGGTTTCATTATGTTGGCCAGGCTGGTGTCGAACTCTTGACCTCATGATTCACCCACCTTGGTCTCCCAAAGTGCTAGGATTACAGGCCTAAGCCACTGCACCCAGCCCTGGCCTACTTTTTCTACTGGATCAAGGAAGACTTGTAAGAGAAACAACTATATTTTCATTTGATAGTCTACAAATACTTGTTGAGCACTGTTTCAGGCACCTGTTACTACAAAAATGATGCCCTCTATTCTAGACCTCAGTGGATGAGAATAGCAAATGTGCATTCTCAAGTTCTCAGGTCTGCAGTAGAGTGGGCTTGGTTGATATAGACTGTGTGTCTCCACTTGGGGCTGTGCACTGGCCAGCTTGGCTTCTGGCTGGTACGGGTTTGGTTTAAGTTTGTTCTTACTCTCTCCACCCTCCTTGGACAGTCAGGCTGGCTATGCTGTGTTCTCCATGTGGAAATGGCAGAAGCATAAGAAGCCAAGCCCAGCTATGTAAGACTAGTCCACACCTGGTTCTCATCATACTCACGTATCTCATGGATTGACCAAACTTTCAGAAAACTTCCTGCCTCCAGAACGCTGGTCTCCCTTTTCTTGGAGCATTTACTTTAGAAAACTTTTCACTGCAAATTGCTTCTTTGCTCCTTTGAGATGTACATTTTTTCAACAGCCTCTTGCCAGGTTTACAAAGCTTGGATGTCTTTCTTGAGGACCTGAGAGCCTTACCTTTGGAAATGTAAAGGTCAAGGAAAATCACGCCCCCAGCTCCCTGCCTTGTGTGATGGTTGAAGCCCAAGTGACCCAGGCCCCTAGCTTCAAGTTATAATGCTACCAACCTCCTGCCTGCAGATCCTGGGAAATTCTACTTTGCCTTTTTGGCAAAGCCAGTTAGCAAACACAGATGGCCTAGAATGTACCCACCACAGCTCTTAAACTACTCTCCTGTTCTCCGTTGCAGGAAAGTGGAATTCAGACTGAGTTTGGACCTCTTCCCTCTATGCATAAAGTCATCTCTGTTGGTATAACTTGAGAACAGTTTTGTGTTGACACTTGCTCATACAACATTGGCTAAAAACACACACACACGCTCAAAATGGGAAAAGATTAATGCTGCTCCAAGGGGAAGGGTGGCAAGTATTGGCTGAGCAACACTCCAGCCCCTCACGGGATAGCACCCACCTACCTATATGTCTGTGGTACAGCAGTGATCAGGAAGGAAGGGTCTCTGTTCACCAGGAGCTCACCTTCTGAAGATGGGGGCAACACAGAAAATAAAAACCTAAATAAGATGATCTCAAATAATGATGCTTCCTAGGAATACAATAAATAAAGCAATGCAGTAAGAAAGTGAGCAGTGTCGGCCGGGTGCGGCGGTTCATGACTGTAATCCCAGCACTTTGGGAGGCTGAGACAGGCGGATCACGAGGTCAGGAGATGGAGACCGTCCTGGCTAACATGGTGAAACCCCATCTCTACTAAAAATACAAAAAAAAAAAAAAAATTAGCCAGGCGTGGTGGCAGGTGCCTGTAGTCCCAGCTACTGGGGAGGCTGAGCAAGAGAATGGCATGAACCTGGGAACCGGAGCTTGCAGTGAGCGGAGATTGCACCACTGCACTCCAGCCTGGGCTACAGAGCAAGACTCCATCTCAAAAAAAAAAAAAAAAAAAAAAAAAAAGAAGTAAGCAGTATTACAGGCCAAGTGCTGCTATAGTAGAGTAGGAGCTCCCAGATAGGTCAGCTCATGTGTTCTCAGAACAGGAAGATCAGTGTGGCTAGGAGGGTAATAGTGATGCAGGATATTTTTATATTTTTCTTGACCCCTTCACTGGACTTGCGAAGGGGTGCCCCATTTACTCAGCCAGTTGTGCTCAGCCCCTTGAGGGAGGGAACATGGGAGTGAGCGAGTGTGGGATCCAGCTGGCTGGCCGGCAGCTTTAAACACCAGCAGTTGTAAACTCCATGCAAGCCCTGGGGCAGTACCCAGGTGGCTGCACCTGTGATCCCTGAAGCTCCAGAGGGTGTGTTACAATGCTCTGTGAGCTCCACTGTCCACAGGCAGCAACGTGTTATAAGCTCTGTGGGCCCTTTGCCTCATCACATGGGGCAGCTGCCCTCCATCAGTGAGGACAAATGACCAGTGTGACAGCCCTTTTTGTGGACCCAAATACTTGTCTGGTGCCCAAGAAGAATGAGGTCATGCAGATGAATTGAAAGATGGTGAATATGGAGAATTTTCTTGAGTGATACAAGCGACTCTCAGTAGAGAGGGGAGCTGGAAAGGGGACAGGATGGGCATGTAATCTTCCCCCAAAGCCTGGCCATCTCTGGCTGGTTCTCCTCGCAAGTCAAGCCATCAGCTGCCTCTCCTCCAAAGTCCAGCCGTCGCTCTGAAATGAAGTTACCTCTCTCTGAAGTTAAGTCACCTCCCTCTCTACTGACTGAGTCTTGGGTCTTTATAGGCACAGGATCAGGGGTAGGGTGGGCCATGGGTAGTTTTGGAAAAGGCAACATTCAATTGGTAAAAAGACATTATTCAGAAAGAACTAATCAGGAAAGAGTGGGCATGTAGGGATAGGAGTTCTCACTTTGGGTCACAGGTTTCAGGTTACTTTTGGCCTGAAGTTGGGGTTTTCACTGGGGACCCATCCCTGTCTGCCTAGAGTTTCTCTGCCTCCTGTCACTATCAATAGGCTCAACACCAAATAGGCAGGAAGAGGCCAGATTTTGTGCATTCTTGGAGAACGCCTTCCAGGACATACAGGTGTTTATTCTAAAACGCAATGGGATTTGGGGTACCACTTTAAACAGGAGAGTTAAATGCTGTAAGGAGAGTGGATTGTGGGGGTGCAGGGATAGAAGCAGAGGGAAAGTCAGTAAGGTTCTGTTGTCATCCCACTGAGAGATGTGAGGAGCTCGAGCCAGGGTGGGTGTTGGGGAGGAAGATTTCAACTAAAGTTTGGAGGTATGTCCAAGAGGACATATGGGTAAATTAAAGGTGGAGTGTGAGCAAAAGGGTAAAAATATCAAATCAAGTGTAATAATGACAGAGCATTTTATGAACTGAAAGCCTCCACTTCCATTGTTCTCACAGCCTTTTGTGGGAGGTGAGGCTGGACTCCAGACCCTTGGAAGTCAGAGGTAAGCAACCCTAAAGATAGGGCTTCAGCTTCAGCCACCTCTTCTGCCTCCATTTGTCCAGTTTTCTTCCAAGGACCCAAGGCCCTAATGTTGAGCACACATGGTCCTATAACTGCAATTGATCATGATCATTGTTTTTCCACTCCAGTCTCTCTCCACCGCACTGCTGTGCTTTGTCTCATGGTGAGCAGCATGGGAATGGCTGGGCATAGTTTTTGGTATCTGGAAAAGGAAAAATTGGGTTAGAAATATGATAGGATATATCCATATCCATATCTATATACATTTATCTGTATCAGCTATATAAGTTGGCAGGTAGTTAGGTTACTGTGAGCTGTCTGATGTAGGGAGGCATCAAGGTTATTCTCAGTCGCCGTGCTGACTCACGGGATGATGGGCTGCACAGCTGCAGGACTGGTGTTGTATACTCACATGAGTACAACCTGTGATGCCTATCATAGGAAGAAAGTATAGGAGTACGTGTGTGTGCACATGTTCACCTGTGATCATGCATGCATCTGGAGGTAAGAGTGAGATATGAAGCGTACAGAACCTCAGTTATTCCATGGAAAATTCTTTCAAACCTTGCATCTCACGTATAAACTAAACGTAATAAAAATTTCCCAAAAAGGACCATGACATTTGCAAAATATTACCAAGGATGAGTTCCAGGGTGAAAGAAAACAATTTTCCATCAGCCATGGTGGAGGCAATAGTTAATTATCTTTCTGTTACCTGTAGAAAATATCTATTTTATAAAAGTTGTCGTGTGAACATGTGATAATAGATTGCAGCAAAACAATGAAAGAAGAGTATTATAAAGGTGCATCAGGTAGTTCTGTTACAGGGAAGGGGTCTCGATCCAGACCCCAAGAGAAGGTTGTTGGATCTCACACAAGAAAGAATTCAGGATGAATCTGGAGAGTAAAGTGAAAGCACATTTATTAAGAAAGCTAAGCAGTGAAAGAACAGCTGCTCCATAGACAGAGCAGGGCGTTCCTGAAAGTAAGGGGAGGAACGCTTCCACCCTGGGTACAATGCTCGTTTACATAGGCTAGAAAAATCATCGGGAGAGTGCTGTGCTACAAGGATTTGTGATAAAGGATTGATCTTCTTAATTACTATATTTTGCAATAATCAATACTATTATCTTTAAAGCAAAATTAGGAATGCATCTGTTCTTAAGATATTGGGATATCAGGACACTCCTAAGTCTGGGTCTGTTTATTAACGTTATCAATCTGTTTCCTTAACCGTCAACATCTAGAGGCGGGGAACACCTAACTTCCTGGGAATCCAGCTCAGCAAGCCCCAGCCTCATTTTCCAGCCCTCACTCAGGGTGGAGTTGCCCTGGTTCAAACTTGTCTGAAAGTTCATTGAAAATATTGCAGTGTTAGCTTTCTGAAACTTGTAAACTGCTGTGACTTCTTTTTCAATTGTAAATAACACTTTTGTGCCTATGGGTGTGTTAGTATTTTTGCACTGTTTTGCTTTTTAAAAGAGCCGTTACCAACTGTGGAAGTGCTTTAGCCCCCAGAGCCTGGGTCTTCCCTGTCCCTGGCTGTGTCCTCTTTGCAAGCTGAGTTCAGGGGTAAAATGAGGTTTAGAGGGAGGAGGAGAAGGAGTTCCCGGCTGAGAATCCCAGAAAACGTCTCCAGTGGGAACCTCCTTTCTAAAGGTTCTCAGGGAAGCAGAGGTCAGTGGAATCAGCCACCAGGATGAGGGATGAAACAGTCTGTCACCTGACTTTATTTTCCTAACTTTTTTTCCCACTTCATTCTTTAGTGATGGAGCAATATCTAGTGTGGGGAGGTGAGATGTGCATAGAACAATCTTATTTAATTTGTTTCATGAAATGCACCGTCTGCTTAAGCTTAATAAAGTCAAATTTCTGAAAAGCAGGCTCATTAAAACTTCCATAGTAATAGATGAATTTAATTACTTTGACTTAAAAGAAGGAGTATTTTTCTAGGTGGCAGCTGAAGAGAATCTGGTCTCATACACTTACACTTATCTGTTTCTGTTATGGAAATTAAGAGCATTAGACAACTAACAGCAGACCAATGCATATAAACCAGAGTTGTTGCCAGGAAAAATATAGTTAGAAGACTATTAACGTTTTTTCTTCTTCTTCTTTTTTTCTTATTATTATGGAATAAATAAGTTAAAAGAGCGTTATCCTTCAAAGTAATTAAAATTCAGAATTACCTTTTTTGTTTCAGAAATGTCTGATTTGATTACTTTATAAATTTACACAAGTTTCTGAATATTTAGAATCTTGACTCGCACTTTCCCTCCTTTTCATTCTCACCCTCCCCCACTCCATTCACTCTACTGCTAACACTGATTACTGCTAACTTGACTACTGTGAACATTGACTACTGCTAACCTTGACTGCCAATGCTGACTCCCTACTGGTTCTTAGAAATCACTGTGGCCAAAGATCATCCTCTGGCTTCTCTCTGCTTCCAGCCTTTCTTCCTCCCTGGGACACAGGTGCTGCTCACAGCCAGGTGCATCTGCACCTTGTCTGCCTCACAGAGGATCTACATAATGCATAGTCCAAAGTACAATCTTTGTGTCACTCAGGCTTTCCACACTAGAGCCACCAAACCCAGTTTCATTATAAGCCGTATCTCAGTGGTATCTCTAGCCGGTATTCAAGATTGGGCAAAAGGAAATAGCAAAGAAAGTTGTAAAGAAAAGTCCCAAGTTAGTGTCATTTTGAAAATGAGGCTGGGTGCAAACCCAGACACCAAGGGTCACTGCCTCACTCCTGGGCTCACTGAGGTGTTCCTGGGTTAGAATAAGCATATGGTGTGGCTCACTTGGTACTTCCGAAGTGTACATTCATCTCTGGGAGTCATATTTCCCTGCTTCAGTAATCCTGTCTCCCCTGGACTTCCATAAGCGCTCATCCTCACAGAGATCAGGCTCAGGGGAGGAAGACCCCCTTGGCCGGCTGCACTGAAATTACACAGGAGCCTCCCCTCGACCTGGCCGGCCCTGGTTAAGCCCGAGATCGCACCTTGACAGCTTTCCTTGCAGATCTGGGACAGCCAGGACCTGGCCAGTGCCCACGCGGCTGTGCCCCCGCGGCTGTGCCCCCGCAACTGTGTTGACGTCCCCTGCTTGCAGCAAGGATGGAGCACATCAGAGTGCCCCATGGGCTCAATCATTCCAGCCTGTCTGCTGCATTCACTTCTGGGACTTGGCCAAGCAGATCATCTCTCTGTTATTCCTCCATCTACTCGAAACATTAGCATCTATCACATATTTAGTTGGAACATATTGGTCACTTCAATTATGTATGAGCTTCCTGAGGGTTGAAACCAAGTCTAAGTGATTTTCATCTCTATCACACCAAGCCCAGCACTGGCACTTGGCATCAATTAATAAATCTGTCAAATTAAATGCTACTATTTCAATTTACCAACAATGTACACTAAGGCCCCATTTTAGAGTCCTGTGAAGTTACCATATAGTTTTTTCAACCAGCCAATAAGCCTGGGTCAGCTAATGGCCTGGGTCTGTTCTCTGAAATAGTCTTGGAAGATGAATTTTGACACTAACTCTAGTGACGTTAGCAGGTTGACTTGCACTAAGGTCCTCACACAGCTACTCCATGGCTCCTCGTGCCATGCCGCTTACTGCAAATGGAACTTCTTAAGCCTCTCTCTCCTCCAGCGCTAATTCTAATAACCAACAACAATACTATCACAGGCCTGTTAATTCTCATGCATTTTTTTCTACTAGTTTCCAATTAAAAGTTCCACTTGCCATTCACTTTAAGTGTTGGGAAGAAAATCAAAATTGATGAGAACAGAAATGAGTAAATATGTGTGAGTGTGTGTATGCACGGTTATGTGTGAGTTGGTGTGAGTTTTGGGGGGAGTGTGAGCGGGGTTAAAGAGGTAAAAAGAACTAGTAAATGACTCTGGAAAGGGTGTGGTTTCTCCAACATATGAGACCTGTTTGGCTTAGAAAAAAATATTTGCAAAGGAGCAGGTAAAGAAAGCATGGGCGTAAAATAAGGTATGATGCCTGCTTTATTGTGGTGTATGATTATTTTGCATGATATTATTATTTTCTTATTTTATTAATATATTAAGAGTGTTAGTATATTATTGTTTTCTGCATTGGTTATAAGTAAGGATTGTGGTGTTAGAATATTAGGGATTAAATCTTGGCCCTGTCATTTGCTGGCAGTGCGATCTCGGGTAAGTTGAAATAGCTTTGCCAAGAAACGTATTTTTCAATTGTAATTAGAACAGGGTGATTACATCACTCGCCTGCTGAGTTCAGAATTTCTAGCCTGAAGGAATATGAGTTCTACATGCACCTTGCTATCGAGCGCCAATGCATTGAAAATTTGACATCAGAGGCATGAATGGCTATGGAAATTACTCTTGAAATCCCACAGAAGTGTTATTTTTCCTTTGAATAATAATGCGATTGAAATGCGAAATTTTCAGTGTTACAAAAGCCCCTTCAATTGTTCTATTTTTCTGTGTCAGATCAGTGGTACATTTAGGTGGGTGGATTGAATTATTTTGTCTCATATGATTTGATAGTTTCATTGATTATAACGTTTTTATTTGTTGTTTTGTTTGTTTCTTGATTGGCCTTAAACACATGTCATTCTCCCAGCTGAAGTTATGAGGATTGGAGATGGAGAGGAAAGCAAATGATCTGAAGACCCTCAAGAATGAAAGCAATCCTGAGTAGCATTGTTCTCTCTCCCTTTGGTGCGGCTGTAAATAGGTTTTTAATTCATTTTAAATTTGCATTTTGTGTTGAAACCTCAAGAAGCCTAAACTCCATCCCTGAGGATGCTGAGGGAACTACGTTTTTGTCTTCTTGGGACTAGAAAGCCTTAGTCTCTTTGTTAGTGGAGGTAACTAGTCAGACATGAGCAAGGGAGGCGAGGGGAACCGCCATCCCCAAGAATGTCAGGAGAACATCAGGTGATGGCCAGGCAGTTGTTACACCTGTCTCTCTAAAATAATAATCGGTCACAGCTGGCGCCAGGGAAAGGCAGTCTCCCAATAGATAGAAAACACGGAAACATTATCAGCAGCTTACCAGTGAGATCTCAGGCGCAGGATGAGTGAGCTTGAGCATGCGCACTAAGAGGCAAAATGGCGGCATTTAACTGGTCTGTGACCTTCCTCTGGGGACACTGGTAAGGGGGAAAACACCGACAGTGAGCATGCGCACAACCTCAGACAAGACACTGCGCAGACGGCCCTTCTCTAGTGCTAGCAAACCTGTGTGCGCACGGGCAGCGCTAAGAGAGACGGTGTTAACAACCACCTGACCATCACCTGATGGACGCCTGACATTCCTGGGGGTGATGGCGCCCTGTCTTCCCCTGCTCATGTCTGACTAGCTTCCTAGTGTAACAAACAGACTAAGGCTTTCTAGCCCCAAGGGAAGAATCAGGGGAAAAGAGATGGAGACCCCAGAAGCATGCCAACGCAAAAAGCCCCAAGCCAAAGGTCAAACGGTGCCCTTGATCTCTCAAGTCGCCTGCTAGACCCTTTTCCAAGTGTGCGTTACTTCCTTTCATCCCTGCTCTATAGCTTTTTAATAAACTTTCACGCCTGCTCTAAAGCTTGCCCATCTCTCACTCTGCCTTATGCCCCTCGGGCAAATTCTTTCTTCATTCTGCAATAATTGAGGTTGCTGTGCAGCCGCGTGGATTTGTGGCTGCTAACACACTTTGGTCCTGCGTGACTCGGATATGTTTCCCAGAGCTGACGTGTTCTCCACCTTTTACTTTTAAATACTCTTTAGCATATATGTTATGATCCTGTTATTGAATAACTTTGCTGGATTGTAGGTTTTTTACAACAGGTACACCACCCTTCACAGAAAATGGGAAAAGGATACTTTTTCTCTTAGATCCAAAAGTGAATACTGCCTTTGATCATGGAGAGAAGAGAAGTAGGATTCTAGGCCACTGGGCATAGCACAGAATGGCTGGTCACAAAGGAATTCACAGGGATATTTAAACTATTGGACTCTCATGAGTCCAGGTCATTAATGAGAGACATTGTTGCAATTCTCAAATCTGAAGCGTTGTACAGAGTCTGATGAGACATGGATGGATTTCCGGGGTAGCTTCCTCCAAAGTGTGACTCGGGGATGGAGCTCTTCTGTCTGAGGGCTGTACCATCCGTAATCTGTGCTTGCCAGCATGCCGTCCTGAAGGTACTACAAAAAGGATGGAAGATTTTGCAGAATTTTTTCAAGAGAAGGCCTGGAAGTAGCTTATATTAATTTTACCACATTTAACTAGTCAGTGTACAGACTCATGGCCCCATTGTAACTTCAGGAGGTTCTGGGGAAAATGGTCTTCCAGTGGCCGAGGAAGAAGAACATACACTATTTTCTTGGCATGCTTGCCAGCAAGTGCTGCCATTTTTGTCTCCATGCTTTGATTTTGTTCTTGCTGTGCCCTCATCAAGTGCTTCTTTTCCGTCTCCCTATTTTTTTAAGTCAAACTCAAGTGTTTCTATGAATAACTATGGAGCTTGAGTTCATAACTTTCATGTGTATCATTTGATCTAGGTGTTCTCTGTATTACGTTTGAACCATTTTTTATGACTTGTTTATGTTTCTTCCATTGTTAGCTCCTCAACATGATCCCAAAGTCGTTTGCTTGGAGAAGTTTTTTATTTGTCCACAAGCGACTGATCAGTGCTTAAAGAATAAGGACAGTCTCTAATTAAGCTTCTAACTTATGAAAAATCTCCTCATTATGTAGGAATAAAAGGAAGCTTTATTAATTTGAAGCAATATCTACTAGAAACCTAATATAATCACCATACCTAATAAAAAATCAAAGTTAGGAACAAGACAAGAAAACCTATTCATATCTCTACTCTGGCATTTCACTGAATATCTAGCCAAACAAATAATACATGGAAAAGACCTGAGTTTTATGGTCTGTGTATCATTTAGCTTTTGCTCTGTAACAAACCACCCCAAACATAGATACCTAGAGGAACAAATACCTATTTAGCATGTAACTGTGTGGGTCTGCAATTTTGGCTGGACTCAGCTGGACTTTCTCTTTGCTGGACACAGCAGCACTCAATCATGCCATGACCTGGACAGCTCCTTGACAATTGATTGATTGTTCTTTTAAGCTATTAAGTTTTTGGATGGTTGAATAAGGAACAAAACCTAACTAACAGAGATTCGAAGAAAAAAAGAGTAAGTGGGCATTAGTGGCAGATGATATTCTAGTCTACCATAAAAATCTGATATTGGGATCAGGCTGAATTGGAGAAATGCAGCTGAATCACACTTAAGAAAGGAATTTTATTTATACTTTTCAGTAAATGTTTGTCACTCGTTGGTGCTGAGAGCCTTTTCCCCTAATATCATACATTTGTGACTATCAGTACCATTTGTAACTCCAGTCCCTGTGATTTTCTTTCCATTCACCTAAATAGATTTTTCTCTTACCCTAATCTGAGATAACCAAGTGATAAATTCAGGGAAGTGTGAGATAGTTAAATCTTCACAGAATCTGATAATTCATACAGTTGGCACCCTGGCTAAGAAAGGTTAAATGACTAAGTGAAAATCACAGAGATAATAAATAGCAAACATATATGTTCTTGCTATAAATATTGTACTGCAGGGTCAGAAACTGAGCTCAATGCTTCTGTCATACCATGCACAGTATTTCCTGACTTGTTTCCATTCAAAGACTGAGGGGCAAGTCAAAATACTCTTAGAAGGAGGAGCACTGATGTGTGAAACAAATCTATTCTGGCGCCTTCTTATGGGAGAATCCCCAATACATTTCTATGCATTTTTGGTAATTAGTTATGCTAAATGTTATATGCAACTCAGAAAGTCTTACATACAGCACTGATGGTGTATTGTGCTGTTATTTGTAGGATACTGTTCAAGACATAAGATCATATTTAAAAAATAATCAGTATGTGCTAAAGAAAGCAATTATTCACATGCTGAAGAATGTAACTGAACTGCTACCTCACACCAAATACAATAATTAACTTAAAATTCATCAACAATATAAATATAAGAGCAAAAATTGTACAAGTCTTGGAAGAAAATATAAGAGTAAATATTTATGACTTGGATTTAGAAATTAGTTAGTGGATATGACACCAAAAACACAAGGAGTAACAGTAAAATAGATGTTAGATTTTATGTTTCTACATCAGTGTATATTATAAAAATTGAAAAGACAACCTACAGAATAAAAAAAAAATTTCAAATCATACATTGGGTGAGGGTCCAGAATCCATAATATATAAAGGACTCTGACAATTCAACAACGACAACAAAAGCCAAACAATCCAAGTCTTTAAAATGTGTAAAGGACTTGAACTGACATTCATCCAAAGATATACAAGTGGCCAACAAGCACATGAAAAAAGATATTTATAATCATTAGTCAGTAGGAAAATGAAAATCAAAACCACAATAAGATACCATTTTATACCCACTATGATGTTTATAATAAAAAATAAGGAAAATAATAGTTGTTTTAGAGGATATGGAAAAATTATATTCTTTATATATAGCAAATGGAACTGTAAAAAATGCAGCCAATGTGGAAATCAGTTTGATAGCTTCTTGAAAATTTAAACATAAAATTATTATATGACCCACAACTCCAGCTCTAGGTATATATGCAAAATAACTGAAAACAAGTTCAGAAACAAACACTTGTGCATGAATAGTTATAGCAGCACTATTTGTAATAGCTACTATGGAAACAACCTAAATGTCTATCAACCAGTGAATGGAAAAATACAATGTGGTGTATCATACAACATAATACTATTTAACTACAAAAATAACTGAATACTATACATGCAACTATGTGGTTCAAACCTTGGAAATGGTATGCTATGGAAAAGAAGACACAGAAGGTGACATATTTTATGATTGATTTTATTTATATGAAATATCTGAATAGGTAAATCCATAGAGACAGTAAACTGATTGGTGGTTGCTAGCAATTCCAAGAAGAGAGGAATGGGGAGTTACTGCTTAATGGGTGGAGTTTTCTTTTGGGGGTGACGACAATATTTTGATACTAGATAAAGGTGGGTTGTAAAACAACCAGAATGAACTAAATGTCGCCAAAAAGTTAATATTATGTTATGTGTTTTCCACCTTAATTTAAAAAAAAAATGAAGAAAACATAGGTGAAAATCTCCACAAACCTGGATTAGGTAATGATTTCTTAGCTATGACAACAAATGCTCAAACAACAAAACAAAACACTAGATAAACTGCGTATCATCACATTAAAAATTCTGTGCTTAAAAAAGACATCATCAAAACTAAAAAGAGATCATGTGGGATTTTTCTTTCTGTGCCTGGCTTATTTCACTTAGCGTAATGTTCTCTAGGTTCATCAATCTTGTTACAAATATTATAATTTCCTTTAAAAAATACTAAATAGTAAGTATTTCATTGTGTATATACCGCAATGTCTTTATCCAGTCATTCACTGATGCACACTTAGGTTGATTCAAAATCTCACTAATATGTGGAATCTAAAAAGTTGAACCCCTAGAAATTGAGAGTAGCATGGTGGTTACTGGAGGCTGGGATGGGAAGTTGGGGAGATGTTGGTCAAAGGGTAAAAAAAATCAGTTAAATAGAGGTCATATATTCAAGAGATCTATTGTACAACATGGTAACTATAGTTAATAGCAGTGTGTTGTATTAGTGAAAATCAGAGAGTAGATTTTGCATTCTAGCCACAAAAAGTAAGTGTGTGGTATATTATGTTGGGATTGTTTTCAGCACAGATTGACTCTGCTAAGAATAACAAATGCCTCCCTTTATTTTATTTTATTTTTTTCCTTGAGACAGGACTTCACTCCTGTCACCCAGGCTGGATGCAATGGCATGATCTCAGCTCACTGCAACCTCTGCCTCCCAGGCTCAAGAGATTCTCCTGCCTCAGCCACCAGAGTAGCTGGAACTACAGGCACATGCCACTGCACCCAGCTCATTTTTTTTTTTTTTTTTGAGATAGAGTTTCCCCATGTTGCCCAGGCTGGTCTCAAACTTCTGAGTTCAAGTGATTAACCCGCCTCGGCTTCCCAAAATGTTGGGATTACAGGTGTGAGCCACGCCACCCAGCCCCTTTATTATTAATA